TAATTTCTCGTAAGGCCCCTCCCCGTAAGGGTCCCGTAAGGGACGGCCTTCCCCGTAAAGGGTGTTCTCGTAAGGGGCCTTCCCGTAAGGGAGGTTCTCGTAAGGGACCTCCCCGTAAGGGGTCTTCCCGTAAGGGTGCCTCATATAAGGGGCCTGCCCCGTAAGCCTGCCCGTAAGAGCTCCTGTAAGGGCCACCCCTTCCCGTAAGGGTCCCGTAAGGGACGGCCTTCCCCGTAAAGGGTGTTCTCGTAAGGGGCCTCCCGTAAGGGGTCTTCCCGTAAGGGGAGTTCTCGTAAGGGGCCTCCCTGTAAGGGGTCTTCCCGTAAGGGTGCCTAATGCTTGGAGAGCCCAAACCGGCGCCCTTGCTGGCAAATGGTCTGGGTTTGGGGGTATTACCTTTCTACTACGTAGAGGAGGTGTGCTGGCCGGGCACACCTAAGAGGGAGGGCCTCACATGGTGGTATGGCCTAGGCCTTACTTGTATGGCGTCAGTTCCAGGCCCAAGCTGGAGGCTTTACCCTCCAGCAGCAGGAGGCAAACGTCAAGCAAACCACATGGCCTCTCGCAGCTTAGCTGCTCGGGCGATTGCCTGGCCTCGGCAATCGTCGCTCGGGCTCTGCTTCAAGCGCACCAACGAGCCCTCGCTCAGTTTAGGGCAGGGGCTCTATGAGACGAAATAAGGGGTATACAAGGGTTATATTAGGGTATTCGGATTAGGGGTCCCTTGTAGGGGTCCCTCCTATTGCCCCTTAAGAGCTTCAGCAGGAAAAGCCTGAACTCTAAGTGCTCCTTTAGAGTTTCCTTCGAGGGTTCCTTCAAGAGGTTCTTTTTTTTTATGAGCCAACCCCTAAAACCAAAACCCCCTAAACCCCTAAACCCTAAACCCCCCGTGTTTGGGGCCTTTGCGGTTCAAGGGTTTAGGGCCTCTAGGGTTTTCAGGGGTTCAGGGTTTTGAGGTTCTGAACCCTAAACCCCTCAACCCTAAACCCCCTAAACCTCCAAAGCCCCCAAAACCCGCAAAGGAGGGGATCTTTATAGGGGTTCGTCTTGAGGGTTTGAAGAACTTGAGGTTGAGACCTTCAAGGTCTAAGTACATGAGAACGATGCTCAGTTTCCATACAGGACAGACTGTTTTGGTCGCCCATATACCACCATGATGGGAAGTCAAAGCCCTAGATTACATCCTAAACCCGAAGATACACTCACACAAAACCATATGCCACCGCCTCTGACGCCCGAACAACGTTTGATATTAAACTTACTTATAGAAGCAAGCTCATCTTGAGATCCCTGGCCCTAAAATATACCCTTGTAAAGACCTCTGTGCAACGTAGAAACGTAGGGGTCGTAGAAGTTGGCCTAGGGCCTGGGGAAGAAGGACATTTTTTTTAGAGCTGGAGGGAGCTGTAACTGTCATACTATTGCACAATGACTGAGAAGCCGGTAGTAATGTAGTACAATCGTAGTAGCAATCATAATCAGAATAAGAATGATAAAAGAAACAACATTAAACAAAATAACATCATCCTCATAGTCATAATTACTAACCATCCACATATTCAAGACCCAATGACACCTTCAACCCCGAGCTCTAGGCTTAATCCACTCTATCCTAAGCCCTAAACCCGAGGGCCACCCTAAACCCTAAACCCCTACACCCCTAAACTTTACACCTAAACCCTAAACCCCACACCCTAAACCCTAAACCCTAAACCCCTAAACTCCCACATCCTAAACCCTAAACCGTAAAACCCTTAACCCCTAAAGCCCTAAACCCTGAGCCCTAAACCCTACCCAACACAGACCCTAAACCCTAAACCTTACACCCTAAACCCCCTAAACCCGAAAGCCGCCTAACCCCTAAACCCTAAACCCAACAACCGTCACTTAACAGACACCCAGTGGCCATCCACAGCTGAAGGGCAGACCTGGCAGCAATCGAAGCTCCGGCGACCTTTTTGGGAGCCCGGGAACTCGTTTGGGGTTTAGGGTTGTATTTATTATTGTTATTATCATTATTAGTATCATTATTATTATTGCTATTATTATTATTATTACTATTATCATTATTACTATTATTATTACTACTATTTTCTTTTTTGTTAGGGGGTTTTTAGGGCGTTAGGGGTAGGGTTGAGGGTTTAGGGCTTTAGGGGGTTTAGGGCTTTAGGGGCTTAGGGGTTTAGGGCTTTTAGGGGGTTTAGGGGTTAGGGGTTTAGGGTTTAGGGTTCTTAGATGGGGATCCAGGGTATGGGGTTTGGGGTTGAGGGTTTGGGGGTTTAGCGTCTAGTATAGGGCTTGGGGTTATTTCGGGCTTAGGGTCACGGTTTAGAAGTTAGAGGTTTAGGGTTCAGGGGTGAGTTTAGGATAACTTAGGTATAATCCTAAGACAAGACTAGTCTACTTCTTGGGGGAATCCTTGATTGAGGGTGTAGGTGGTTGGCCACGCTTGGCAGTTCCACATGCTGCACAAGGCTTGTCAGGCTTGTCTGGGGACATATCCGTCAGAGGGCGAAGGTCAACGAAGGAATGTGTTCTCGTTTAGCTTTGGGTTCCCCAAATCCCAAAATGTTCAAAATTTGAACCCGATTATAAATTCTAAGCTATGATTTGAGGCATACAGCCGCAGCGTCCAACATCTTAGTGGGATTTTGCCTCGAACTCACGGCTTATAGCCTAAACCCTAAACCCTAAACTCACCTCTTCTTTGGTTTAGGGACAGCGTTTATGTTGTAGCATTCAACTTATCGCTACGTTCCTCTGCAGCTCTCCGCTGTGCCTTTCGAACCACAACCTCTATTTCAAAGGAAACTACAGGGTGGAGAGTTTAGGGTATATAGGGCTTTGCAGAATTCCTTTGCCTAACCATGGCATAGTTGAGTTCCTTCTCTAGGTTTGACTAGGCGCTGCAGTGGTGAATCTTCCGAAAGCCTTGAAGGCTCTGAAAGCGGAGCTGAGCTCCGGTGCATGACTAAGTCACGACGTGCACATGATACACGTCAGCAAGGGTTAGTCGATCCTAAGAGACGCAGACAGCTAACCTTGTAAAGTGCTGATGTTTGTTTCGTGAGCGGAAAATTCGGATCCTCGCGTAAGCCCATGGTTTGATTGCTCCCTCCTGACTACGATTGTCAAGGATTACTTCAAGAAGAATTACCATGGCTGCAGGTGATAACCCCAATGAGGTTGTATTGAACGCCTCTGAAGGGCGACAGGTTATGAGCCCAAGCGGTGCTCGACCTACGTCGGAACCACGCGCAATTCGGAGACAAGATACAATTCCCAATGGAGTGCCTGTCCCTCCCCGACGTGGACCCATGGATATGGATGGAGAGACGACTGCACCTCCGGTTGGAGAATTAGCAGATGATAACGGAGGAGCGCCTTCGAGGCCCCTTCAGCCGCCGGAGACAGTGACTGTCTCGAGTGATACGGTGGCTCCTACCTCGTCCAGAGCCACGATGTCGTCGACTTCCGCACATGGATTTCTACTAGGACCACAGCCTGGGCACTCAAGGACACAGAGAGGGGAAGTCCCAGAAGAGGGAGCGACCACCTCCAACCGGACCTCATTCCTGGGAGGAGTGGCAAAGGCGATGCAGCGACTACCAACAGCAGTGGAAGGCTTTGTTTTGGGGCACGGGTCATCTGGCCAGTCGCTTCAGAACAACGCCATGGCGGAGGCAGAGGGATTTACTTCAGCTCAATCTGGTAGCCCAGAGGAAGCTCAACGACCACCTTCGGACACTCAGTTGCCGGCCACGCCACTGCTTGATGAACGTACGTTGCACAGACTGAACGGGATGCAGGCGTCAGCCCCGCATCTCTATCCGCAGGAGGCTCCATCATCTGGGGTACGACCTCCCTCTACGAGTTCGAGTGACCTTCAAGCTGAGGTAAGAAGACAAGTGAGAGAGTTTATGTTGATGCGGGATGAGGAGAATCGTGAGCTACGATCGCAGGTAGAGCTGTTGATGGTAGAAAACCAAACTCTGAAACAGGAGTTTACAGCACAAATGTACAGTCAGGAAAGGGGTCTGAGACCCTCGGGTTCGGGAAGGTTTTCGGGGTTAGAGTGGATTGGTAGGGGATTCGGGAACCTCCTTGGGGGAGTTTCTTCGCCGAAGCCTACGTCGCCACCTGAAAGGCCCATGGATTTACGGCCTCCGCCACTACCACCGCCGCCTATTCCCATCTTCGATCAGCAGTCTTCCTTCCAGCAGCCTCGACCGCGCCCAAATTCTGAGCAGCGAGGTTCAGCCGACAACGTAGGACCTCCAAGGGTGGCTTCCTCCTTTGAGAACCGAGGCAACATCCCTCCGGGATACTCTGCCACTGAAACTCATGAAGCAAGGTTCAGAACTGAGGTTCCAGTTGCCCGTGTGCTGGACTTTGAGCCAACTGAGGTTCCTGCTCCGCCTAAGGAAGAGACATCAGCAACGACAGGTCCTGAGCCCGCCGACCCCTTGAGCGTTGTATTAACGGGCATGGCACAACTCCAAGGAGTTGTAGCTGACCTGGCAACAAGCCCTAAACATGCCAAACAGGAGGTTATTAAGCCGGGAGTGACGTCGTTGCCTGATCTGCCCCATGCAGGCCCAGAATCGTGCTTGCAGTTCGCAGACTGGCTACATGCCAGCAAACCAGCGTTGAGTGATATATCAGACACTAGTGAAGATTTATGGGGCTTAGTCCAAAGGGAAGCAAAGGAATGGTATGCACAGTACCTACGACTAGACGCGGTCGCAAGGCTTACATCGAAGCCCATACCCTCCTCGGAGATCACCCAGATGAAGTGGACGAGAGTCTCAAGGAGAATTGAAACTATGATTATCGCAGCTTGCCCTCCCGCCATTCGTGATGAAATCAGTGCTGCAAGGGTCACCGGGTTACTACCGGTGGTTGCTAGGCTATACGTTATCTATGCTCCTGGCGGTTTGTCAGAAAGAGAGCTTGGACTCAAACAAATACAAGAACCTAGTCCTGGAGCCACCGTGAAGGATACGGTCGACATTCTTCGCAAGTGGCACCGCTGGTGTGACCGTATGAAGGAGCTTGGCGGAACCCTTCCTGATAGCGCCCTAAGGATTAAGGCTCTCGAGAGGATCACTCGCGTAGTGTTGCAAGCAAACCCAGATGTAGCGTTTAGGGTTAATCTGACGCGAGCAGCACTTCAAGTAGACTCCAACCCCGATGATTGCAAAGTTGAAAGCTTGCATGCCCAGATGCTAGGAGAGTTAGAAGCCATTATCCATCGCACTGGCTCTAAGGATAACGATAAGGCTAAGGAGGCTAATGCAGCAGCCGGAGCAAAGGTTAAGGGTGTGGAGGAGGTTTCTCGGGATCCCAAGACCCCGAAGGGAGCGAAGCCTAGTCCTAAAACCCCAACGAACCCTAAATCCGGGAGTGCACAAGATGGCAACGCCACCAGTGGAACACCGTGTTCCTTCTACAGTGGTCCAGGTGGATGCAAGAAGGGTGCTGATTGCACCTTTGTGCACAACTGGAGCGCCATTCCGTATGCCGAGAGAGCGCAAAGGTGTAAGAATTGTGGGGGTAAGGGACACAGGGCTTCAGAATGCAAGGCGGGACTTAAGGCGGAAGAGAAAGCCAAATATAAGTCACCCCCTGCAAACCCTAAGAACTTTAGTAACCCTAAGACCTCTGCCACTGCTGCCGCTACCACCGCCTCTGTGATCCCTCCTGCAAAGGAGGTAACGCAACAGAATATTAAGTCAATGCTGGCGGATGCAGCTCAGATACTGCAGCAAGCTGCTCCGGCATCCCAGCAACAAGGAGCTGGGGTACAACCTGCCACGCCTATAAGTCCTGCTCCTTCACCTAAAAACCAAGCTCCCGTGACCCAGGGAACGCCCGTCACTCTCGAGGCACTGAACGCCCAGATTGAGTCCCTGCGAGCCATGGCTCAGGAGCACGAGGTTCGTATGATCAGCGTAGCGAGTGATAAAGGGAAGGTCTCAGAGGTTGAGGGCACACAAGTGAAGGCGTTACTAGATAGCGGTGCAACACATGCAGTAGTGCCGTTTAAGCAGGATATGAAGGACTTGGAACGTGCAGAAGTGACTCTAGCCGGCGAGTCGAAGGAGGAATGGTTCAGAACTAGTGGGGGAACACTAGTTGTACCCCCGGCGTCAGAGGGAACCGCTAGCAGAAGGTTGCAAACCATCCTCCCGTTCGGAGCACTTGTGCAAACCTTGGGATGTAAGGTGTCATGGAGCAAGAGGAAGGGCCTCAAGGTCATCCACCCACGTCTAGGACCGTTGAAGGTAGGAGTATCCAGCAACACGTGCCCATATGTGCAGGAGGATCAAGCATTAAGCCTCATAGCAGAGCTAGAAGCTCAGAAGTTGCGTGATTTTGAACAAAGTGTACAAGCTATGGAGGCAGAGCTTCAACAGCTGTCCTCCCCCGTGGATCCAACCGAATCTATTAAGAGGTTCCTTGAAACGGGACAGCGGGCGCAGTTGCTCAGAGCGGTGTTTGCACAGCCCTACTTGCGAACTGTGCCAGAAGCAGCAAAGGTTCGGCTTTGTGAAGACCTCCCGGGTTTGTCAGATTCTGACGGTTGGAAACTATTGAAAAGGCTTCCCCTTAGCAGAGCTAGGAGAAGATCCTTGCATTCGTCTAAGTGCTGGGTTGTTAGTCTGTGCTCTGGACTCACGGGTGAGTCAGACCCAATAAAGTTGTGGGCTCAAGAAAGGAACCTTGAATACTTGGGAGTTGACATTCGGGATAAAGGAGGTAAGGGTTGGGATTTGTGTAGCGAGTGTGGTGCGTGGTCCGTGCTTCTCTGGGCTGCCGCCCAAGGCCGGATCGTGACGATCCTCTCATCACCACCATATCGCACCTGGAATTCTCGCCCGGATCTTCCACTGGCTCGTGGTCCTGATGATCCATGGGGTCAAACCTCGACAGACCAAGCAATCTTCCAAGAGAACGTTTTAGGAATTCAGGATATGATCCTATGGTCTATCGCTTCGGTTGCGAGGGAATGTGCCATCCCGTTTTTGAAAGAGATACCTTCATCCAATCCCAAGGCCATTCATGGTGACTCCCAGCGGGTATCTCCAGAATCCTTTTGGACTACCCAGGCATGGAAGGAGTTTCAGCAGTGGGCGAGGGTGAAGACCATTGATTTCTGTCAGGGATCGTTGGGACATGAGTGGTTGAGGCCATCTATTGTAGGCACCAACCTTAGTCTCGAGCACTTGCAAGGCCTTCCTCGACAAGGGCGTCCAGCCCCCATGACTGACGGAGTGTCAGAGCCAGCAAATCACTGGTGTGTAGGGTTTAAGAAGGAGATTGTTGAGGCGTTGGATGGTAAGGTAAAGTGTCCGCCCGTTGAGGTGCTTGACCAACAGATCTCACACCACCTTCAGGCTTGCCAAGAGAGGACAGGTTTGAGTGAAGGTAGCAGTGCGTCAAGCCGGACAGAGTCCGATCAGGAGGAGCAAGTGAGGGTCCCTCCTGATTTTGAGGCCGGGAATGATCCTAACGCAGTAAATGCTGTCCGCCCCGCGGATTTGGAAGCTTGGAGAGCCCACCTTATGAGAGGGCACCTGCCATATCGTCGAGACTGTCAGTATTGTGTGGAAGGATCCGGACTCGGAGTCCAACACCGACGCGTGAAGAACCCCCAAGCATATACCCTATCGGTAGATCTCTTTGGACCGGTTCCACCCACTGAAAAGGGCAGAGATGAACAGTCCGTGTCAGGGAAGCCGCATCTTAAGTTTGGTTTAATAGGCGTGTACCGAATGCCTAAATCAATGATATCCTCGAAATTCCAACCACCTCAGCAGCCTGCCGTCGAGAAGCGAGGAGATGCCAGTGTGCTTGATGATATGCCCGGGGCACCTGATGAGTATGAACCCACAGAGATCGGTGATGATCATGAAGATGCCTCGTTGGACTTCGACCAATACGTTGATGAAGTCCACGCCCAACATCCTGCCACGATGATAACAGCTGTTGACGGCCCTGATGATAAAGACGGGATGAGTCAGAAAGATGATAATGAGCCTTCAGAGTATGAGTGGATTGATGATAAGCAGCTAGAGCAAGAGTTGCAGAAGACGACCAATCCGGTCGAGATGATCACTCTGAGATACTTCGTCGGGCTTAAGTCTAAGACTGGCCCCGACGTGGCCGCAGGCATACAGCAGATGATATTGAGGATAACACAGAAATTCCCAGTGAGGATACTTCATTGCGATCCAGGCACTGAATTTACCTCAGAAGCATTGATGAAGTGGCTGCCAGGCCAAGGAATAAAAATGCAAACTACCATCCCTACTGATAAACAGGGTAATGGTTTAGCCGAGCGCATTGTAGGATGGTTTAAGTCCCGCGCCAGAACACTGCTTGCCTCCAGTGCCGTACCACCTACGTACTGGCCCATAGCCATGAGATGGGCAGCAGAGGCACACAACCGTTCTGTGTTGGGGCAAGAGCCCATTCCAGCGTTCGGCCAGACAGTTTTGCACAAACTCAAGAAGCCTGCAGGGGGCCATAAGGAGTTGATTACTAGATGGGTGAAGACTAAGTATGGTGCACCCCACTTAACAGTAACAGATGGTCACGTCTTGCTCACTGATGAGGGCAATCTCGTAGCCTCGAGGGGTTTTCGGACCGGAATAGCAGATCCCGAAATCCTGAGAGAAGCACAGCCTCCGCCACTTCAAGAGCTTGAAGCTCCAGAGGAAGAGGAGGAGGAGTTGATACCGGAGGGTGACATAGTCCCCGCTCTCCCCGAAAGACGATTGCAGGAAAAGACGACGGTAAGGTTTATTGATGGAGGAGTTGAAGAAGATAATCCTGACAATATAGCGAGAATAGGTTTGCTCGATGGAGATTTCTCTGATGAACTCTTCAGAAGGGCGACCTCCGCTCTCCAGAAGGTGGAACTGCCCACTACAGACCGCCGAGGAGAGCTGAAGGGCCGCTTCGTGCTTGGAGCATATGCACATGGTGGAAATAGAGGGGTTACGACTCTCTGTAAAGCTTACCCTAAGCTCACCCAGTACCTTAACCTGTTTCTGAGGTCACGGATTAAGGACCCAGGGTTAGCACCAGAGTGGGCGACAATCCTTTTGATCCATGCTTCAGATGTTCCAACACACCGTGATTTCAGGAATGAATGGAACACGAAAAACTATGCATTGTGTGTTCCAGGAGTCACCGAGCTATGGAGGGGACCACCTCACGACGCCAAAGTAGACCCTCGAACCATAACCCCAAATTGGGAGTCTTCAGAGGTGTCTATCCTCACCAATGAGGTGACGTCATTTGACCCTCGGTGCTACCACGCTGTAAGAAGATCACCCGATTGGGTAATAGTGGGTTACTCTCCTTTAGGGGTACATAAACTTGGTGACACTGAAAGAAGCCTGTTGAAGGATAGAGGATTCCATCTCCCGTCAAGGCCAGAAGCTGAGTATCAGGTTAAGGTCATCAGACCCACCAGGCGTTCAGCAGATGATGATAATTCCCCACCGCCGTGGGAGACTCCAATTCAGGAGGAGGATGACGATAGACCTCCCTGGGAACAGGGACCGGGGGTACTGCGTCCCAGGACGAGCAGCCAGATACCAACACTCAGTTGGTTGGTTGGGACCTCTCGGATGGAGCAAGGTGTAATCAACCGAACGCAGACAAGCTGCCGAAAGATCTACATCTGTTCCTTTGGCAAAGGGATATTGTTTACCTCCAAGAGGAATTAGCCCGGTTGGGTATAGAGGAACCAGAAGACCTGATTTATTTATACGCTGAGGATTTAATCGAATTTGGTTTGTCAAGATGGGAAGCCGAAAGAGTGATGTTTGGGGTTCATCCACCCGGAACGAGAAGACCGGATAACCCTAATAATAGCGGGCTTAAGACTGGGGAAGTGAGGCTGTTTGATAGGGATAGCCAACAAATTCCATGGGTAATTCAGAATCGCTCGTTAGCTGTACGAAGCCCAGGACCTCCCGTCCCTAATCTTGGAGTTCGAACTGATCAAGGTGAGCAACAGAGCTCAAGCAAGAAATGGCATAGCCTGGAACCCGTGCAAGACGAAGTTGTGGAGCAGACCCCAAAGTGCCCCCCAAGTACGTACTACCCGGTGCACTACTGGGAGGACGAGTGGCCAGATCATCATAATCCCACGGCGTCCAGTAGCTCTGCAGGCCCTGTTGAGTACGGCCGCTCGAATTCGAGAGACGATTGGTGGCAATCTGCCAACTATGCTAGAACTCATTCGTCGAATCAGACTTATTCTAGCGAAGCCAACTGGCAGAGTAGTTGGTGGCAGTCATATGATACCTCCAGCCACTCTGGTAGTGCGTCAGCTTCAACATATGAGAACCACACTGTGTGGCAGGACGACTGGTGGTCGCCAGGTCAGGTCCAGACAGGTGCATCAGGCAGTGCAGGTCAGGTGCCGCCAGGT